CAACAAATTATAATCGTACAGCGTCCTTCACATCAGAAAGATGTCCCAGGGCGCTGGACAGTCAGTTTTTTGGACCCGCCCTCCGTGGAAATGAAGCAAGGGTATCTGATTTGCATTCTCTCTCTTTCACCTCACCACCCCACCTCTTCCTGCACCTAACTCATCTGGGGAAGTAGTTAGCAGGTGATAGGAACAAGCTGAAAATCTAACCTGAAAATGTATTGCTTGCAAATTAGATATAACGAAGTCTGCCGTCCCTTACAGTGAGTGTCCCCGAGGTTCACTGGAGCTCTTCAGCTGAGGAGGAGAGAGAGAAAGAGGTTAGGGAGAGAAATATAATCGTCGAAAAGCAAACACGCTAACTCTACCCTCTTTACATGAATTAGCGTGGCATTTACACATCTGCTCTACAAAACAAATGAAGATTGTACCTTTTTTATAAAAAAAACAGATTTCGCTGGCAAAAACAGACTGAGATATAAATTTCCGTGTGGGTCTGGGCGTGAACTTGCACTGCCCCAAAGCACATGGCAGTTGCCAGTACAATGTGGTGCAGTGTAAATCCCAGCTCCAGCAAAGCAGGTTCTCCTAATGTCTCGGCCAACAACAATAATAATAATAATAATCCTTGCATTTGATATAGGGCCTTATCACGTCTTTGAGATGTCTCAAAGCGCCTCACAGAATATACTGTAAAGTGAATTGACTGTATATTTTGCGAGTGAAACACAGCAGCCAATTGTGCACAGCAGCGTCCCACAAACAGTCATGGATTGAGTGACCACATTTTTTTAAAAAAAGGGATTTTTACCCTTAGGAAAGTGATCTGCCAATCGACTAACAACCAGGTTCCTACTTATTGCTCGGCAAACAGAGGCGTGCGGAAACTTGCCTAACATTTCACTCTGCCTGGGAATCGAACCCAGGTCCTTATGAGGCGAGTGCTCTAACCGAACTAGTCACTCATTTGTTTGCTGTGTACCTACAAAACACACAGTCACTACGCTTGACAACAATTACCTGTGAATTCCAAATACACGCTTGTAAAATGTTTTGATATGTTCCATATAAAAATTACGAGTTGGTTACTGTGAAATGCTTTGATCCCCTAGTTGCTATCTTATACTTGTGTCCCCTACGTTTACAGACTCCTCAACCAGTGGAAAAAACCTACTTATACTAACCTTATTGAACCTTTCATAATTTTAAACATTATGTCTCCTCTTAAACGTCTGTTCTCTAGCGAAATCAAAGGCCCATCTATTCAGAGAGCAGGAACCTGCCAGCCTTGGTTTCATCCTAATTGTTATCATTTGAAACAGTAATTTCCCACAAAAGTCCACAGCAGTGTCCCATAAACAGCCATAGAGCGACTGATCAATTTTATTAGGGCAATTGCCAGCCAGGACACCGGGAGAAATCCTCTTCTCTTTTTGAAATGTGATATGGGGATCTTTGACCTCCACCTGAACAGGCAGACAGGACCTCGGTTCAATGTCTCATCCCAAGGACGGTACCTCTGACTATGCAGCACAACCCCAGCATTACATTGGAGTTATAACCTAGACTATATGGATTTCAAGCCATGACGTGGGGATTGAAGTCACAACCTCCTGTCTCAGAAACAAGAAGTATGAATAGTAACCATGGGACCAGAAGATGACTGGTGGCCATGGAACTATTCTCCAGTACAGCAATGGCAGAGGAAACAATTGGTGAACCAAAGGAAGAACCTGCATTTTTATAGTGCTTTACCACATTGAAACGTCTCAAGTTTGCTTTACAGCTGATTAGAGGCAAATGTAGTGATTATTTGCGTGTGAGCAAATGCGAGCAATTGAGTGGTTGGCCGGCAGAGAAATCAGTTACAAAGATTGTCCGTCAACGCCAACATCCCGTCACTCGTGTGGATGGTTTCGGTATTTTTCCCCTTCAGTGATGAATGCTGACTACGTGGATGAGCTGGCTGGGATGAGATGAAGCCGGCTGACTCAGCAAGTTGACTGTCATTGAACCCAGCCGGCCTCAATAATCTCAATGATCTAGCGGCGTGTGTTAAGCAGCACTAACCTTAATGAAAGGAGTTCAGAAAACATTCTTCGTTCGTCTGATACTGCGACACAACAAGGTGTTATTCCACCGCACCCACCCTCACTGCAACAAGAGAAATTCCAGACTTACCATCTCCACTGGATGTGGTTCCACAGTTGTTAACATGTCCTCCAGGACTTTGGGAGTACGTCCTTAGGGACAATAGGACCAAACCATTCCAGTGTACACACTCCACACACAAAATCCTTGCTTGGTGTCCTGGCCAACAATCCCTCAAATAAAATTGCTCACTCACTTCATAGCTGTTTGTGAGACATTGCTCCACCTGTCCTTTGGATGAAACGTTAAACCAGGTGGGAAGTCAAAGATCCCACGATTCGAAAGGAGAAGGGAGTTTCTCCTGACGTCCTGGCCAACAGTCCTCCAGGTAACTTGGTGAATTGGTTGTTTGAGGGAACTTTCTGGGGGAAAACTGGCTTCTTGGGTGGGGGGGGGGAAACTTCCCTATCAGTATGTCTCAAGGTAGTATCAGGCACATGTGTTACTTACCAACCAGCGCCAAATTCATTCCATGATTAGATAGGTGAGCAGGGTGTGTCCCTATGGTGAGATAGGGACCACTCTATTCCAAAACAAAGGGATTTTGCTGTACATGTGTGGGACTCACAGGTTGTTTGGCTTGGAGTCTCTTCAGCAAGACCATGGGTTTCTGGGTGTGTCAGACACCGAGCTGAGCAAATCAAATCAGGAGGTTGTGACTTGACACTTTGCTGCTCACTGATTGCTCCCAGTCACCGTCCCCTACGATGTAATCATCCCCCCCAAAAGAAATCAGAGCAAGTTGGAAATTATTGGGAAGTCTCTATTCCTTCCAACTGTCTCAAAAAGCTCTCCACCATCTTCAGTGCTTAATCTAATCCTTCTCTCCTTATGGGTGAGACGTTAAACCCAGGTCCCACCTGACGGTTCGGGTGGATAACGATAATAATATAATAATCCTGGCATTTGCTACAGCGCCTTATCACGTCTTCGAGACGTCTCAAAGCGCTTCACAGGATATACGGTAAAGCGAACCGACTGTATGTTTTGTGGGCGAAATGTTACTTGGGACGTTAACGATCCCGTGGCACAACCTCGAAAAGATAAAGGATTTTTCACCCGGTGTCCCGGCCAACGACGCCCCCCCCCCGAATAAAATCCGTTAACTCGCTTCACGTCTGTTTGTGGGACATCCCTGAGTACAAATTGTCCGTCCCGTTCACCAACAGAACACACAGTCGCCCTTCACAGAAAAGAAGAAGCGCCTCGTGACGGTTTGACGTGATAAGACGTTGTATTAAATGGCAGAATAGCGATAATAATAATTAGTATTGTGGTTTTAGTATATATTTAAGTACTCTGCACTGGCAACACAAAGATGTTCTTCCCCCCTCTCTCTCTGCCCTCTTCTCTCCCTCTCTCTCTTTCCCCCCCATCTCCATCTCTCTCTTCCCCCTTCTTTATCTCCCCTTATCTCTCTCTCTCTCTCTCTCTCTCTCTCTTCCTCTCCTCCCACTCCGGACTCTTTTCTCTCTCCATCCTCTCTCTGTCTCGCTCTGTCTCTCTCCTCCCCATCTCTTCTCCACCCCCCCCCCCCCCCCCCCCCCCCCCACACACACACACTCCCCCCCCCACTCCCCCACTCTCTGGCGCTGACAATGTGACACTGAGGAGAAGACAAAGCGGCTGTTGGTATCAGTGGGGACCAGAGAGCGGCTGAGACTGGGACTGGGGCTCAATTGACAAGGCTTTGGGAGAGGAGGAGAGAGAGAGGAGGAGAGAGGAGGAGAGGAGAGGAGGAGAGGAGAGGAGAGAGAAGAGGAGAAAAGAGAGAGGAGGAGAGCATCAGCAACGGGTAAAGGGGGAGAGAACCCAGACCAGGGGCTGTGTCTGTGACTGTCTGTGTATCCGTCTGTCTGTGTGTTTCTGTGTGTGTCTGTGTCTCTGGCTGTGTATGTGTCTATGTCTACCTGTCTGTGTGTGTGTCTGTCTGTGTGTGTGTCTGTCTGTGTGTGTGTGTCTGTCTGTGTGTGTGTGTGTCTGTCTGTGTGTGTGTGTCTGTCTGTGTGTCTGTCTGACTGTGTGTGTGTGTGTATCTGTCTGTCTGTGTGTGTGTCTGTCTGTGTGTGTGTGTCTGTCTGTGTGTCTGTCTGACTGTGTGTGTGTGTCTGTCTGTCTGTGTGTCTGTCTGACTGTGTGTGTGTGTATCTGTCTGTCTGTCTGTGTGTGTGTCTGTCTGTCTGTCTGTCTGTCTGTGTGTCTGTCTGACTGTGTGTGTGTGTGTGTGTCTGTCTGTGTTTTGCTGCTATGACTGTTGGTCCCCCTTTTCCATCTGATTGGCGATGTTTGATCAGCTATTATTTTGTTGTCTGGGGAGGGTTGGGGATGAGAGAGTGTCAGTGTGTGTGTCTGTGGTATTTGGGGGTTCACTGTTTGTGTCTATGGGGTTTGCGTGTGTGTATGTATATGTGTGTGTGTGTTTATGGGGCTTGCGTGTATGTGTATATGTGTGAATACATATGTGTGTGTGTGTGTATATATATGTCAATACATATGTGTGTGTGTGTGGAGGGGAAGGGGGGGGGGGGGGGCGGGGAGATTGTTTACGGAGGAACAAGGAAGGAAAACTCGTGTAACAAAGAAAGGAAAAAAAATAATTTGGATTGAAAATGAGCGAAGTCTGGGACTGACCTCAGGGATGTTGACCGGCACAAAACTGGGATCCCCCCCCCCCCCCCCCTCCGACGGAGACGATCTCTGGAGAGATTTCAGAGCAAACAGCCCCCAGTTGTATCTCTTTTTTGCACGATGGGAGTGGGGTGTTGCGGGGGTGTGGGGAGGGGGTAAGGAGTGAGAAGAGATAGAGAACGCGATATGATTTTCACCGTCTTTTATTCTTCCAAGGATTAAGCAATGGCCAGGTTTCGCAGAAGGACCTTTGTCGCCTTGTTGGTCTTCACCCTCTTCGTCTTCGGGACCATGATGGGGTTGAAGACCCTAACTCCGGCCGATGGCTTTGAGGAATCCCCCCTCGCCCCCGGGCTGGAGCGGGTGGACACACGCCGACCCGTCTCCAACAGCCCCATCCTGATGCTGCCTCCCACCCTCACCAAAGTCCCCCGCGCACATCTGGAGGGCTACCCGACCCCCAATTACGACCTGCACATCTTCTACTACGCCTGGTACGGCAACCCCACCTTTGACGGCCGCTACCTGCACTGGAACCACCTCCTGGTGCGTCACTGGGACCCCAAAGTGGCCGCCAGTTACTCCGAAGGCCGGCACAGCCCCCCGGAGGACATCGGCTCCAGCTTCTACCCAGAGCTCGGCCCCTACAGCTCCAGGGACCCCCACGTTATAGAGCAGCACATGCAGCAGCTCCGCACGGCGGCAGTGGGTAAGCGTTTGTTATTATACTTAGCAAGATACACGGCGATTAATTGAGCAGCGATAGGCTGGTTTTGCACAGATTTGCAAAGGATGGCGAGCGTGGAAACAGTCCATTCGGCTCAACCAGCCCACACGAGTCTTACTCCAACCCCAATCCTTGACTCCCTCCCCGCACCCTACTATTCCCTCATGTGAAGGTCTGGCTTCCCCTTGAATGCATTTACACTATCTGATTCAACCACTGCTTTAGGCACCAGTTCCACAATCTCACTGCCCTCTGTGTGAACTAGTTCCTCCTAAATTCTCTTTCAGATCTGCCTTGTCGCCACCTTCTACTTGTTTCTTAGAACATCCGAGTCAGTTGATGTTTGATCTTTTAGCACACGATATCGACGACAGCAACTTGCATTTTAATTGCGCGGGGTAGCATCTCGGGGAGCGCTTCACACCCTCACGCTCGCACGCTCGGGCTCGCGCACATTCCCACCCTCCCACACACACGCGTTGCTGTCCCGACCAGCCCTTCAGAAAATCTCTAGATTGAACCACATAAAAGAAAAATGTATTTTTAGACTTTGTCTGACTTCCTGGTCGGCGAACCAAGGGGCAAGAGAGTAGCAGCTCTCGGCCTGATTAAGCTGCGTCGGTAACAATGTGGGTGAGGGGAGAAGCTGGACTCAGGCTCGCAGGAGAGCTGTGCGATGTTGATCATTTCATGTCCCTTGACTGAATGACTTGCTGCCGAAAATAATCAATTGACGAGTCTATCACACGAGGTTACAGACTGGCGCGGGTTTTAATTTTGACTGGTTAAGACAGCGCCCGTTACCGGCATTCCCCCAAACGAAATGCTTCCGTTTGATCAGGAGGGTAGCATTCCCGCCCCTCAGCATTGCCATGGCAATCGTTCCCAGATCTCACAATGCAACACGCTTCTTCCTATCTGCAGATCAGTAACAATCACTTCCAGTCTTAGACTAACGTAGGAACACTGACACAGGAAGGGGCAGGTCAATCCTGTCCATTAGATCTTGACAGATCCTTTTAATCCCAAAGGCCTCCCTTTCACTACACCCCTCAATACATCTGCTCCTCAAACCCGACGTCAGAACGTTTAACTCACGAGTTCCAGGTTGAAACTCCAGAGCAGTGCTGAGGTGCACTGTATTTATTGTCGGAGGTGCGGTCCTTTGAATAGGATGTTAAACTGAGGGACTGAGGTATGCTTGTTTGATCGGATGTTAAAGATCCCAGAGCACTCTCCAAAAAGAGAAGGGAGTTTCTCCCTGGTGCCCTGGACAACGAGCCCCAGATGGAATTGGACATTCCCTTCATGGCTGTCTGTGGGCCATTAGTGTGCTCAAATTGGCTGCTGCGTTCACCTGCAAAACACACAGCCAGTTGAAAGTATATCCTGTGACATCCTTTGAGGTGTCCTTCTGATGTGGAAGTGCTGTATCAAATCAAGGATTAGTTTGATTATTATCTGTCTATCTCTCTTTTAAACATCCTTGTCACAAAGGAACACACACTGCCATTCCACTCTATTCTCCAGATCAATGGAGTTCATCTTAACCATGATGTATAGTTTTAATCACACGACTGAATCTCACAGTATATTTTAGTTATAGTCGGAGCAGAGTGGAGCCTCTGTCCAGGGTGATGAATTATGATTACTCTGTGCTCTGTGATATATGCAGCAAAAAAGGGAGAGAGGATGGAAACAGTGAAGATATCAATCTGTGGAGGGAGCATCATAATGGTGACATATAAAAGATATTCCTTGCATTATGATATAGTTCTTTTTACATCAGGAGGACATCTCAAAGCGCTTCAGAAGTTATCTTGTGAACTGTATTTTGTTGGCAGATACAGCAGCCAATTTGCACACCAGAAGAAACCGCCTTCGTTTTTCAAAATAGCGCCATGGGGATCCTGAACAGGCAGACGGGACCTCAGTTTAACGTCTTGTCCAAAGGACGGCATCTCCGACAATGTAGCGTTCACAAGCATTGCATGGCATCGTAAAAAAACACTATCAAATGCAAGGATTATTTTTTATATGCCTAGACTGTGTGATTTCCACACCTTGTTTCAAAGCGTAATCCAACAACCTTGAATTGTGACTCAGAAGCATTGTGTGTGGTGGTGTTTGTGTGGTATGTGTGTGTGGTATGTGTGTGTTGTGTGTGGTATGTGTGTTGTGTATGTGGTATGTGTGTGTTGTGTGTGTGGTATGTGTGTGTTGTGTGTGTGGTATGTGTGCTCGTGCACTAACACGTTGTCGTGAAAGGTTTCTTGACACAGTGGTGAGTAATTCCGTGTTTAGATATACTCGAGTCATGCAAAGTTTCGGAGCAGCCATTATTTGTCAAAGTGTTACATTCAGTCTTAATTTTGAAGCCGGTTTTCTAGAGTTTATTCAAAGAACTTACAGAAATCTGGCTTGTAGTTGTCAAACCCTGAATTAGTGCTGAATTGTTAGAGGTTGTGTACGGGTGACCTGCGTTTATTGGGGATAGCTTCAGGCGGTTTCAAACTGTATGAATTTAGAATCTATATGATCAACTAAGTGGAAAATGAATCCCATCAGAGACCGGGCTGAATTTGAACCAAGGTCGTAGAAGTGGATGGTGAACATGTTACTGTTAAATAGCGCCGTGCTAAATGGAAAGGGGAAAGAGCAAAACAGTGCATCCCATCACCGAGACGGTCTTCTCAATTTTGTTTAATGGAGACCGTGTGTATTGAATGTGGGCACCTTGAGTGATATTATCCAGCAGTTAAATAAATTAAAGACATCACATCTCGCCCACAAAATATAGTCAGTTCACTTTACAGTACATTCTGTGAAGCGCTTTCAGACGTCTCAAAGATGTGATAAGGCGCTGTATCAAGTGCGAGGATCATTATATAGATATTTTCATACAGGAAACAGAACGCTCATTTGGAAACTCTTAAGCACGGTGATGAGTTTCACTGTATGTGTGTGTGTGTGTGTGACTGACTGACTGACCAAGAAATACAGAGCATCTGCACCTTTCAGGATCCTATTTTATATATAAAACCGATTTATATTTTGTATTACCAGTCTGGACTGTTTGAGCGAGGGTCAGGAACTGTCATTTCAATACAGCAGCTTTGACAATATTACATCTGGGGCAGGTTATTATTAAAAAAGGATGAAAACAACACAAATGGAAAATTTCACAATCGAACCATAAAAGTCTTGGTGATAATAATAATAATCCTTACATTTGATATAACGCTTTATCACAACGTCGAGATATCTCAAAAGCGTTTCACAAGATATACTGAGGTTAATTCTGACAAAAAAAAAACTCTGAACAGAAAATTAATAAGAATAAGATATAACACCTTAGGACATCTTTAAGACATCTCAGTATTTACTGTGAAGTGTAGTGATTGTATTTCTAAGTGAATGTGTCGGTCACTTTTGTGCGCAGCAAAATTCCACAAACGGCCGTAAGGTGAATGACCAGAAGCTATTATTTCAATATTTGTGGACAGTTTTTGGCCAGGACATCAGCAGAAACTCTTCCTGTGTTCAAATAATCATTTGTAACATCCACAGGCAGAAGGGACATCGGTTTAACGTCTTTTCCAAAGCACAGCACCTTCAATAGCGCAGCATCCCCTGGCACTGTATTGGAGTGTCAGTTTATGAGTTCAAATCCGGACATTGCAGATTGAACCCTCAATGTTTTGTCTTCGAGGTGAGAACGCTACAAACAGAGTCAGGCTGACGGGCATTGGGCAAAAAACACAGGAAGGAATTCTTGGCTTTTCTTACATTGGGGTGAATGGGAAGTGGCTTATTGCACTGCAATTCTGCTCTCGAATGAGGTCTGCACTAACATGGAGTCATGAATCATTTCCGTTCACTTTCTCCAAGGGAAAGGATTAATCGCCTCATTTGCAGTTTTGCAAATACTTATCTGTTAATTGTTCATTTTGAAGTAAGCAGCTTAACACCTCATTATTCCTCAACTATTTCAGAAGCCTAGGACACATAAAAGATTCCTAAACGATCCTAGCATTGTAGGTTTTAATTAGTTTTCCTTCCTCACTATGCTCTGGGTGTATTCTCCTTTGCTACAGACTCCTGATAAGTGTGCACAAGCACGTTGTAAAACCGGCGAGTCGGTTGGAGGATGTGTGGAGTGGATCCTTGGCGGCTGGGCTGAGGAGATCGGAATGAGAATTAATTGGAGGCCATGCTCACATTCCCCGTCAATGATTAACTTATTTCAGCCATAAGCTGCAGTGAGACTCCCAGAAGGGTTAACGCTCTGATCTGAGAAGGGCATGTTGCTAATGTTAATGCGGAGGCTTAAACGTTGTTGTGATCGCACGTCCACATTCAACACCCTGCCCTGAAAATCATCCTCCCGCTCACGTAATCAGTTGCGTTGGAAACAGGCTGGCCATGCATTGCATTGTATGTGTTTGCAACCTCCACAAAATGCACGTTCACTCCACTTTACAGTATGTCCTGTGAAGTGCTTTGAGACGTCCCAACAACTTGACAAGGCGCTATATGTCAAATGCAAAGATTATTATTATTTTTATGATCGGATGTGGAGACTGTTTAATAAAAAAAGAAACACTTATATTATGTAAGTCTAAATCAAAAGGCACAGCTTCTGAGAAGGCTTGTCTGCTGTTCACATCATGTAATAATCCTTCCGTTTGCTATAGTAACGCATTATTAAAATGTCGCTTTGCTGGTTCGCTAATTACAGCCCAAATGTACCCAAACATTTGGAGACAAAATGCAACGCATATTTGCATCAGTAAGATCCCATAACAAACCATATGGTCAATCAATTTTTCTGGCCAGGACACCGAGAGAAACTCTCTTCTTTTCCATGTCTCACTCCTCTACCTGCCCCACTCCCCCATCCCACCTCAGCTGGCTCCTGCACCCCTTCGCCCCACCATCAACGGCCATGCTTTCAGCCACTATGCCCCGAGACTCTGGAACTCTCTACCTCGATCCCTCCACCTTGTCCCTTCCTTCCCCATCTTCAGATCACGACTGAAGTCTTTCCTCCTTTACTATACCTACAATCACCTCCCCTCTCTCCCCGGCTCAGCCACTGTTAAGTAGTCCGAGACGCTACCCTATGTGACAGGCGCTACATAAATGCGAGGTGGTGTTGTTCTAACACCAAGATCTTCAATATACCACGTATAGCATTGAGGTCCCATCGACATTGGTGCCAAACCTCAAATCATTGGGTCAGAGATATTCACTTGTTTCATACATTCCGACACATTTGGAGTTCTCGTATATAATTCTACAGTTCTAATGTATGTTAACAGTTTTGTGATGGTTCTCTCTGTCTCTGTTTCCTGTGCACCGCACTGCAGGAGTCCTGGTCCTGTCCTGGCATCCTTCCGGGCTGGAGGATGAGGAGGGGGAGCCGGGGGAAGACCTGGTACCTACTCTACTGGATGCAGCAGACAGATATCGATTGAAGGTAATTCCTGGCTGGAGTAGCTGAAACTCCACTAAGCAGTAACGATAAAAGTGTGTGCTTGTAGCATGAAATGTATACAACGTGTGTATATAACAGTCAGACTCCGCCACTGTGAAGCGCTCCGGGACACCATCCCGTGTGAATGGCGCTATATAAATGCAAGTTGTTGGTGGTGATGTTGAAATTCTTTTGAAAGGCCAGTTTCAGTGCTGGAGGAGCGTCGCATTGTCAGACGCGCCGTTCTTCAGTCGAGACCTTAAGTCGAGGTTCCATCTGCCTCTTCAGGTGGATGTTGAAGGTCCCAGGGCACTGCTCGGAAAGAGAAAGGAGTTTCTCCCAGTGTCCTGGCCAACAATCCTCCAAATAAAATTGGTTAATCACTTCCAGGCTGCTCATTGGACATTACTGTGCACAAATTGGTCGCTATGTTCGCCCACAAAATACAGTCACTACGAATGAGAGTAAATCCTGTGAAGCACTTTGAGAAGTCTTCTTGATGTGAAAGGCGCTATATCAAATGCAAGGCTTATTATTTCTGTATTATAAAATATCTGATGCCTCTCCCTTTTGATGCTTGATCATTTACACAGTTCATTAACAGGGTTTAGGCAGAGGGCTTCATGGAGACATATAGATAAGACAATGAAATACTCCTCGGGTCACAGTGTGTTATATTGATCGCTAAAAACAACGAGCCTAGCGTTGTGTTGGTACAGTGGGATTTTTCCAGAACTTTTTGTGCTCTGCAATTAACCCCATGATATAGCTCCTCCTGGCAATGCTGGGCTCTAACAGGGGGAACAGAGAACATTCTACGCCCGGACCATAGCCGGCAGAAAATTTAGCAAAAAAAAAGATTTTTTTGAGGCGGTGGGGGAAGAGGAAGGATGCAGATAAATTTATCAAGAAAAGTCTAAACCATCACACATCGTGCTTTGAGAGGGAATATTAAGATTGGGCACCTCAGTTCACAGCGAATATGACATAACCTTTTCAATGGGAAAGATAAGGGCAACATTGGTTTCTAATGTGAATATACCAGCACTGAGATTTCTGTGCGATGGAGATTACTTCTCAGTCCAGCACATGAAGTGCCCGAAGCTCAAGAACAGATATTAAATATCACTAACTGCGCTGTATTAAACACACTGCAAAAGGATTTCCATTCCATTTCTAAAGGCTAATGTATGCAGCTGCAGCTGTATAATTTATTTTTCCTGTTCACAAGGGTAAGGGCTTTACTGTGTGACTGATTAAGCCTTTTAATTAATTTTCCATGCCCCTAATTAGACTATGAGTCTATTGCTCCCACTGTGCCTATCCAGTGTTCATGTCTATTGGACTGACAACTAGAGGATAAATCCAACAAACTTTCTTTGATTTGCCTGATGGATAACTGTTCCTATTTAATGAGGCGTTCCACCCCGCACTTACACTGCGCCGACATTTCAACACGCTCGCTTCTCTGTCATTCCAAATTCGTTCCACTCGGGAATCTAAGACAAATGTTCGGATAGACGGGTTTTTTTTTTGTATCGCGTCGGTTTCTGAATCTGGGAGGAAAGCGCTTCGCACAAGTGGATCGCTCGAACACACGGCTTCACGCAACGAGTTTGTGATTGATTGGTATTTGTGGGTTTTATTCTATTGCCACCTCCGCAAGGTTTCAGGATCTGCGCTCGGCCTGTTCCAGTGTGGCTTTTAATTGGATTTCACTCCTATAAAATCTGCCTCCCCCACAAATTACTGGGAGAGCAGAGACGCTCTCCCCACCTCCCCCCTCATCACAGTGAGCACACGTCAGTCATGTCTTTTATTTGGAAACGTATAAGGAATCTGCGTTAGGAAAGAAGAGAGCAGATTAGCACTACCTTACAACCAAGAACATCGGAACGTCTCAAAGCGCTTCACAGCATAATAGTCACGTGTGGTAACTGCTTTTTCAAGGCAGACACATCAGCCGGGTGGTGTACAGTAAAGTCCTGCAAATGATGTCCCACAACCTTTTTGATCGTGTTTTTACAGTATTAAGGATCCATTTGCCTTGTGATTCCAGTGGATATAAAGGGGCTGCCCTGTCATTGCTATTCAAAGGAACCTGCAGTCTTTCTCTCCCGGTTTTTGTTTTAGCCTCTTATTCTGCATGTCAGCCTGGCTCAGTTGGTAGCACTCTCACTCTCCGAGTCAGTTGGTAGCACTCTCACTCTCCGAGTCCAGAAGTGTGTGGGTTCAGTCCCACCTCGTGACTTGGAATTCATATAGTCTAGGCTGACAATGTAGAGCTGGGGAAGTGCTGCATCGTTGAAGGTAGAGTGATTTGGTTGAGACGTTAAACTGAGGTCCCATCTGCCTGTTCAGGTGGACGAGGCAGGTGAATACCAATAGTACTATTTCAAAGAAAGAGAGAGTAAGGAGTTTCTCCCGACGTCCTGGCCAACAATTCCCCAAATAAAATTGGTCATTCGCTTCATGGTTGTTTGTGGGACATTGCTGCGCCCAAAGTAACTGCTGTATTCCATCACAAAATTTAAAGTCACTCCATTTTACAATGAATCCTGTGAAGCACTTTAAAGTGTCCTCCTGATGTGAAAGGCGCTGCATCAAATGCAGGGATTATTATTAATTCCCCAAAGTCAAATCAATTGGACACTCATTTCAATGTTGTTTGTGGGACGTCACTCGCGCAGATTAGCTGCGTAACATTTCCTTGTAACTACATTTTTAATTTCCAATCAATTATGCTTTGTAAGGTGTTTCAGAAGGATTATTTTACATGAAAGACATTATATAAATGCGTAGTTATTATCATCTCTGAGTCAGAGCAAGCTTTGGAAAACATTGCGCACGCAAATGAATTAGATTTGTTCGTTTAACGAAAAAAGACCGCCAAAAAACCCTGCCAATTAAGGAGACCAATCCTTTAATTCCCTGCCCTTTCTTTACCCCGCAGAGAAATGATTTGTTTGTTTTGGTCACTTTCCAAGGTGCATTAGAATGGAAGAAATCCGAAGGTATCAATCAGTCTGAGTGTGCCGTTCATTTAAATGAGAGGCTGGTTACTTTAAGGTGCCATTCATTGTAAATCAGACAAAATCAATAGGGTTGTACAAACACAGGCTGCGTTGAATCGCTGCCAAGCTGCATCTTTGAGACTCATGGAACAGGACAGTCTGCAGATACCTCTGTGACACCAGAAATCATGAAGAGTTACGGTAGATATTAACAGTGGCTTTGCTGGAGCCTCAGTTAGTAAAACTACCGCTAGAATACCCACTTTTAAAAATAAAACTGACAAACGATAATGGCGAATAAAGGCATCAATTGCCTACAGAAGAAGAGAAAGAACTTTTATACCCTGTATCATTTTGAAACATCCCCCATTCCTTGTAGGGGAAGTAAGTGAAGTCTCCTTGAAGCTGAACGGGTTTCAATGTGACATTGTTTGGTAATGGATTGTTGTTAGGACTTGGTGGGGCCGACTAGTCACTGGGGGCAGGGATTTCTGAACACTTAACGAATTACAAGGTTATATACCGACTGATCAATAGGCATTAGCTAAACTGTGCTTAACCATTGGCACTTATTATTTTAATCAATAGGTCTTGACACCAGTCACAGAAAAATTAAGATTCAGTGCTGTCGAGGGACGGGAGTGGAAAGCAAGTCATTTACATATTAAGTATCTAGGTGTTGGGCGATATTAATTATTTCCTTAATTAAGAGCCATAATTAGAGATTTGTTTTGCTTTCGACATTTTCGAGTTCAACAGGGACTAAAGTCTGACAGTGGATACTTTATGTTGCAAGTGAAAGGAGCTATATCATTTTATAGCAGAAAATCATACAGTGGCTGCCCTAGATTATTTGGTAGTGGGGGGAGATTTATGGAGACCATTAATCTTCTCACCGACATAGAGACTTGTGGAGAGAAGAGTCTATTTTAGAGTTACTGATAAATAATAATCATTGCATTTGATATAATATACTGTGAAGTGAATTGACTATATGTTGTGGGCAACATCACGAACCAGGAAGGTTTCGCCTCCTTAGAGAACAGAGAGTGAGCGGCTTCACACCAGCCCAAGAGACACTCTGTAGCTGCCTAAACCTCCGGAGACCTTGGGTTTAGATCTGGTATCGCACAGTCCAAGCTGACAATCCTGCACAGTGCTGGGGGTGCCGCTCGTTGTTCCAGGTGCCGTTCTTCAGATGAGATGTTAAACCAAGCTCCCTTCTGTGCCTGTTCTAGTGGACATTAGAGGCCCTGTGACACAGCATAAAAACAGGAGGGAGTTCCTCTCGGTGTTCTGGCCAACAATCCCCCCAAATAAAGTTGGTCATTCACTACATTGCTGTTTTGTGGGACGTTGCTCTGTGTCAAATTGGCTGCAATGTTCACCAACAAATGGCACAGTCGCTACACTTTACAGCATATCTTGTGAAGCCCTGTGAGACATGAAAGGCCATCCACCTAAAAGATCGTTTGACACATCTCCCGCGTGGGGAACGTTTCAGAAACGGAATAGATTCTAAACGATCCCGATAGAGTTCCTTTCACGTCAGGAGGATGCCTCAAAGTGCGTCACAAGATCTTACTGTAAAGAGCAGTGACTGTATGTTTGCATTATGCAGCGCCTTGGGACGTCCTCCCGACGTGAAAGGCGCTCTATAAATGGAATCTTGTTGTTGTTGTATTATGAGGAAACAACCATAGAACATTGTAAATTTACAGAACAGAAGAAGGCCATTCAGCCGATCGTATATGTTTGGCTCTTTTATGAGCAATCCTCTCAGTCCCACTTACCTACTCTTTCCCCTAAGATATTTATCTCGCTCCCTCCTGAATGATAATAATAATCCTTGCACTCGATATAGAGCCTTATCACATCTTCGAGACGTCTCAAAGCGCTTCACGGAATATACTGTCAAGTGTATGTTGTGGGCGAAATAAAGCTAAGGACTGTAGCCCAAACAAAGTGTGACAGATGTCTTGCGACGCTCTGTGTGAAGGCAGGAAGCTATGATGAAGTTGCGCCCCATGTTTCCTTTCTCTCTAACCTCGTGCCCTTTCACCTGTTCCCAGATGGCATTTCACATCGAGCCCTACAAGGGCCGCAACGACCGCACAGTGTACGAGAACGTCAAGCACCTCACAGACAGGTGAGTCCGTCCAGCCAACGCGGAGCTCTGCCATGTACGGGCACACATAGGGCCGGGGACAGGGACAACTTGGGCTTTTAGTGGCTGGAACTACGGGGGGGAGAGGGTGAGAAATACTCATCAGTCGGCGGAGGTTGTGAGAGTCAGAACTAAATAAGTTTTTTAAAAAAAGTTTCACGATATCACGGTTACAAAACCCTAACCCTAGTTTAGGATGAACGTGTGGCTCCAAACCCGAGGGGTTAGCACACTCCGTCCGGCACCGTTTGTAAATTGCCTCCGCACTTCCGGAGGGGGGCACGCAGCAAAATGAGATTTCATGTGTGTGGAGGCAGCGAAAGGCAGTTGAATATCAGGTGAATTTGCTCCTGATTCCGCTCCCCTCCCCCCATCCCCCAGTTCCATTACTGCTACTTGGATAGCAAAGAAAATGGTGTCAATTTGTAATGACATCTCACTCACACATATCCAAATGTCTGACAGCTTTTTGTCTCACGCGTGCATGCGTGCGCGCACACACGCACAACGTTCTGGCTCTGAACATTTCGCAGTACAGAGTGTCATGTCTGTCTCAATCAGTAGCACTCTCTACTCTTGAGTCGAAAGAATTTGGATTCAAGTCTCACGTCGAGATTTTGAGCTCAGTCCAGGCTGACTGGGGGAGCGATGCATTGTCAGAGTTGCCGTTTCTCAGTCGAGACGTTTTAACCGAGGTCCTGTCTATCGGTTCAGGTGGATGTTAAAGGATCCCATGGCGCTACTCAAAAAGAGAAGGAAGTTTCTCCCAAGGTCCTGGCCGACAATCGCCCAGATTAGATAGGTTTGGCAGTTGGAACAGCCAAATTGGCTGAGGCGTTTTGCCTATACACAGTCACTACAGTTTACAGTAAATGCTTTGAAACGCTTTGAGACACCTCCTGTCGTGAAAGGCGCTATATCAAATATAAAGGTTATTATTATCATGGAATCGGATCAGCCCCAGGCAAAGGCAATGGGATGTCAAACTCCATTGAAGGTTTCTCCCAAATTCAGCACCAGAAAACCCATTACATTATGAGTATCCTCTAGAGATCGCTTTGCCTCAGGAGGCAAATGCATAATATAACAGTGTCATTAGCACCTAAGAACAGGACTGAGCATCTCGGAAACTATTAAGCGTTATAATTAGAGGTGTCTCTGCAAAGCCGGAGCAGATTGATTAGCATTCAAAGCACTGAAAATGGGTTAAATCTTAACTATCTTGGCTCGACGATCAGAAAATTGCATAAATTAGCAATTTAACATTTCACAATTCTGACCAGATTTCATTATTCAGTAATTTAGCAAATCAATTGACCGAGCAATGGAGACTGGTTGAATGTTTTAAATAATTGAGCCAATTCCCCACTGAATTTCAATTGTTGCTCGAAGGGTTATTAAGGATGTGAAACACGTTACCACAAGTGGCTATTGAAACCGAAGTCGTTTGCGTCATTTGAAAGGGAATTAGACAAATGCTTGGAGAAAAATATTATGGGGTGTGTGGAAAACCTCGTGATAGTGTGTGTGATTGGAGTGGAAGCTGGTACAGGACAAGGGATGATGGGCCAAATGACCTCCATTTGTGATGACATTTCTATCCCCTGTACGTTCGCTTGCAAGGAAGATCTCAGCTCTGTTAAGATGTCAGGTGGAAGGAACTAAGGTCACGAGACTCTCTATGCTATAACCCGGATTCCCAGCAAAATACTTTTTCATCATAATAATAATAAATCTGATCGTAATCCTTCACAATTGATATAGAGGTGAGGAGGACATCTCAAAGCGCTTCACAGGAATTACTGTGAAGTATAGTAACTGTGTGCTTTTGTAGGTGCAAAGCAATATCCCACAGACAGCGACAAAGTGAATGTTTATCTTGTGGGCTTTATAGGCGAGACTGCTAAAGCATTCTTTCAGACACGCACTGTGCCAGTGTATTCCCTCTCCAACGGCCCTCACCATGGAAGCTTATAATCCTGTAATGGCCTACACTCCTGCTCAGTCATTCAGCACATTATACCTGTTGCCTTTGCCATCAAATGCATATTAACTGCACATGGCAGTGAAAGATCCTTCAACACCTCTGTTGACATGGGACCCTTTTCAAACTCCTGACCGTTGAAACAAAATGGATTTTAAACTGCAAAAAATTGTTAAAATTGAAACAAAAATGTGTGCCGACTCAATGACAAGCAGCGCAGGATGTCTCAACCCTTTTCTTCGACCGCACATTTGGCCACCCGACTTCCCCCCCTACCCTCCACCCCTCTTGATCCCAAATCCCTGCTCAGGTCCAGATCCCTGACTGTTCAGTGGCTTGGGACGTCCTCCCGACATGAAAGGAGCTTTACAAATGTAATTTGTTGTTGTTTCAAGGTGTCTCCAGGTGTCGTGGCCAACAATCCCCTACTACTTTTAATTGTTCGTGTGCCTGTTTGTGGGATGTTACGGTATGCAAATCAGCTGCCGCATCCCACCTACAAAACACAGTCACTACACTTGAAAGTAAATCCTCCGAAGCACTTTGAGATGCCCTCCTGACATGAAAGACCAATTTCCCACCCTCCCCCCACACACAAACACTCCTGTTAGCAGTAAGTAGGTACCCGCTTGTTAGTCGATTGGCAGATCGCTTTCCAGGGCTAATAATCCCATCAAAAAAACAATAATAATGTGGTCATTCAATCCATGACTGGTTGTGAGATACTCCTGTGCAGAATTAACTGCCCCATTTCTACCCACAAAAACACAGTCACTATACTTTAGTGTATCCTGCGAAGCACTTTGAGATGCTCCAAGCTGTAATAAGGCGCTATATCAAATGCAACAACAACAACCAAATTACATTTATAGAGCGCCTTTCACGTCAGGAGGACGTCCCAAAGCACTGAATAGTCAGGTGTAGGGGCCCGAGCATGGGGGAGGGGTGGGGTAGGGGTGAGGGAAGGCAGAGAGGTGGGAGGGAGACCAAAGGCACGGTCGAAGAGAAGGGTCTTGAAACCGGCATTGAAGGAGGCAAGGGAGGAAGCGAGGCGAAGGGACCGTAGGATGGAGTTCCAGAGTGTTGGGGCAGAGAGGCTGAAAGCCCGGCCACCGATGGTAGGGCGGGAGACATGGAGCAGGCTGGAGCCCGCTGAACGGAGGGAACGGGCAGGTTGGTAAAGAGTCAGCAGTTCAGAGAGGTAGGAGGGGTCAAGGCCATGGATGGCCTTAAAGGTGAGGATGAGGATCTTGAACTCGATCCTCTGGGGGATGTGGAGCCGGTGGAGTCGGGCGAGGGTGGGAGTGATGGGGTCACAGAGCCTGGTGCGCGAGAGTACACGAGCTGCAGAGTTTTGGATGATCTGCAGTTTGTGATGGGATTATTATTAATCATACCATATGTAAGGATTATTAATTAGCAGTAGTATTTTTTATCAAATGTTGTGATTAGTTATCATTCCTCTTGCTTGTAGGTACGGGTCCCATCCAGCCTTTTATAAATACAAGACTAGTACTGGCCGGCTACTCCCCATGTTTTACGTCTATGATTCTTACCTGACACCCCCAGTGTCCTGGGCCAACTTGCTGACTCCTTCGGGCTCCCTGAGTGTTCGCAACACGGCGTATGACGGGGTGTTTGTCGGGCTGGTCGTGGAGGAGAAACACAAACAGGACGTGTTGGAGTCGGGATTTGACGGGATATATACCTACTTCGCCTCCAACGGGTTCTCCTACGGTTCATCCCACCAGAACTGGAAGAGCATCAAGGCCTTCTGCGACGACAGCAACCTGATGTTCATCCCGAGCGTGGGCCCCGGCTACATCGACACCCAGATCCGTCCCTGGAACAACCACAACTCCAGGAATCGCGTGAGCGGGAAGTACTTCGAGACCGCCCTCCAGGCTGCTCTGGGGGTGCGACCGGAAATCATCTCCGTCACCTCGTTCAACGAGTGGCACGAGGGCACGCAGATCGAGAGCGCCGTGCCCAAAAAGGCCACACAGCACAGCTACCTGGACTACCTGCCTCACAAGCCCGACCTGTACTTGACGCTGAGCCACAAGTGGGCCGAGCAGTTCCGTAAAGAGAAAGAGCAGTGGCTGATGTGAGCTGGGCCCTCGTAGAGTCGAAAGGAAACCCCGGTGTCAAAAGCGTGTACAGATGGGAGCTCAGTTTATGTTTGAGAAAAGCTGTAGTTACCACAAGCCTTCCTGACCCGTTGATGTTTACAGACTGAACCCCCCCCCCCACCACCAAGTTCCACTTGGTGTTACGGCTTTCCTTGATTAACTCTCCCGTCATGGTGTTCAGAGGCGAGCGACCAACAAGGCAGGTGACAAACAATCAACAGTTGTCGGTCGGACTGCTCCGTGTGTAGGGCACTCTATAAGTGTTGTTGTGGCATTAATCCAGTTTGGGGGAGTAAGATTCATGGCGGTGATGGAACCCTCTGGTTTGGTCTATTTATGTCCATGTACATCTGTTGGTGAACACCAATGATCCTAGGCTTCCCCCCCCGACCTTCCCAGTAACCCAGATTCAACTCCCTCTCTCAGCAGCTGCTAAAACACTAGCTGTCGGAGGTGCCCTTTGCAAGGAACTGAGTTTTTTTAAAAAAACAATAAAAATGTCTGATTTAGGGAGGGGGAATTACCGGCTCCAGTGTCCTACTCAATGCCGGAGAACCCCCATTGGATTGAACTGCCGGTCTGTCTGCCTGTGTAGCAATCTCCATGCCAAGTAGCCAAGCAAAGGAGTGCATCAAACACAGCCATTGTGAATCCGATGACCATGTGGGATTTGATGATCATTGACCGTAGGGTGGTAGGTATTTTTTGGGTCAATGCTAAGTGCATGCAATTAGGACAGAGCGACATATATAGTCAAAGGAGTCTCGTGTTCAATGGATACAAATGTAAATCATACCTGGGTTTGGGGGTGGTTAAGAGTTCTGTTTACTTGAAGTTGTTGATGTATAAGCTCTAGTGGATTTATAGGTTAATTGAGAATTCACTGGAGCAAACACTTGCTTGGGGAATTTGTCCATCTTTGTTCAGGTAGATGTTAGAGATCTTACGGTATTGTTTGCAAAGAGAAGGGGCCTTGTCCTGGCCAACAATCCCCCAAATAAAATTGGTCAATCAGTCCATGGCTGCTTTGTGGGATATTGCTGTGTGCAATTTGGCTGCTGCATTCGCCCACAAAATAGTATATACTGTGAAGGGCTTTATAATAATATAATTTGATAGTGCTTTTTCACATCTTCTCAACGTCTCAAAGTGCTGCACAGAATAGACTGTAAAGTGAATTGACCGTAGATTTGTGGGTTTTGAGACATCTTGATGTGTTAAGGCACTATACTAATGCAAGGATTATTATTAATGTCATTAATTCACTTGTTCAAGGGTACTATTGCTGCTTAACATAATCTCTGTGTACTCTCGGTAAGATCTCTGACCCACATTTCATTCATTAGAAGACATCTCGCAAAATTTCACCTAATATTTATTTCACTCTTTGGAGACCCCAAATTTCTTAGTTTCAGCCTTAAGACTTAGTCTTTAAAAATGCATTGGAGTACCACCGCAGTTTAAGCAGCTAAAAGTTCAATTTTCCATTGCAAACAATGACTAGCTTCCCACTACATGTTGGGCTAGGATCATCCTCTCCATTAGGTTTGGAAAGAGCAGAGAGGGTTGTTATATTGTGGAATGCCTAACCTCTGAAACAGTGGCTGAGGCAGAATCCACTTCATCCTCTCAAAGGGAATACTTTAAATATATGAAAAGGAAAAATATGAGAGAATGGGGTTAAAGGCAGAATGGGATTCAATGTGGATAGCTCTGTATGGAGTCAGCACAGGCACGACAGCTAACGTAGAACTTTTGTTGACTAGTTTGCTCAGTTAACATGGTCCCAACCAAATCCTATGTGGGAGTCAGTTTTTCAGGATACCCCCCAGGAATGAGGCATTTAAAGTCACCCTAAAACTATATCCTTCAAAATCTATGATCATGATTTGTTGCTTTTCAAAGAAAAAGTATCCCGATGCTGAAAAATACCGGGGAGTAAATCAGCATACCAGTGACTTGGTCAAAATATAACCCAAACAGCTGCTTCATAATATAATGTTTCTGTAAGACTTCCTGAGACATAAAGACAAACGCTTGTAGGTACTTTTTCCTGTTATAGCAATTTGATAAAGAAACCCTGTTGATTTCTAATGCTGGATATCAAGTAGTTAGAAGAAATACAAGACGTTCTCTTCATTTATTCTGGGAATAAAGTTGACTGTATTTTATTTTGAAGGTGAAGTGTTTTCAGTTCCTCTAAAAGACTTGTATGGGTGTTTGCTCCAACTACCTTTGGTACGCACAAGCGAGTCTGGGTGTAAGCAGTGGGAGAAACGCTTGTTAAATGACGATGAGTGACCAGAAGAGCGATATAAAACTAGGTAACTCACTCAGAGAAGAGGACCATCACAGACTTTTCCATAATTCTATTACATTTGCTTAATTTTATACAGTACTTCCACGTTAATAGAACCATCAAGTCAGGTAAACCCAATCTGCTGCCTTGAATCCATTAGTTAAGATGGCATTGAGGCAAACACCTGTGATAGTGCACTCCATCCGACCACCACTGATACTTATTTGTGAACTGTAAGGCCAGCAAGTGATCTCTGGTTGCTATTTGAGGTTTCAGACTCAGTCTGAAGGGAAGGACTATTCTTTATCTGTGTAAATTAAAAGACTGGTACTCTAAACAAGAAACTAAGGTTCAGAGAACCAAACCTCGAGCGATTTTTTTAAAAAAAACGTATTTTATAGATATAGAAGACTTACTCTTTCTTATTTAACACTGATTTGTATTTTGGGATTAAACTTTTAGCTTCAATGAGGTCGTATTTCACTGGGTGGTCTTATTTTGGGGGTCTTGGTACCAATTCACAGCAATCAAACTTAAGACCATGTACTTCCTGTGGGATGCCCTGAATTCACCAGCTCAGCTTGTTCCCACCACCAGTGCTTCACCAACCTGCTAGATTTCATAGAGTCATAGACATTTACAGCAGAGGCCATTCGCACATCTTATACACAAACCCACACAAGTCATTATTACATCTTTGGGCCTGCCCCCCCCCCATTTTTTTACTTAAATAATAAATAATTGTCAACAAAAGCAGATGATTTGACAGGTACTTAGCACAGCAGCAAAACTTAAAAAAAAGGTTCAATTCCAGATTTTTATCATTGAAACATTGAAAGTGATAAAACTACAACTCGAATAGCTACAAGCAACATACGGTCTCACAAACTGAAGAAGTTCTCCACTCTTTCAATCCACATCAGCGCAGAGGAATAAACAGTATAACTCCAGGATAAAACAAGAAACTAATTCAGACTTGCCTTAAATAGTTTTTTTATCAATAATGAAAGACGACATCAGAAGGGTAAGAAAGGTATCCTGGGATCCAAAGCACGGCTTTTGTTGATCCAAGTGGGTGACCACTGTCTATCCCAACACAACCTGTGACTGCTCCAATCCATAATCGTCAATTGCTCCCAATTCCATTTAACTACGTCAGTGTGACACTGGAGCTGTGCTGCTTCCTCCAGCGCTGTTATCACATATCCAAAGTAGTTGAATGAGTGCTAATTCAACTAATTCAAGATGCTAATCAGTCCACTATTGTACGCTTTTTAGAAACACTTGCCATGAAGTTCTAGGAGATGGAGGTCAAGCCATGTTTCCCGTTGAGAACTTCCACAGTGGCAGCAAGGGCACTGATCACAAAGAGAGAACAAAAGATAAGCTACTTTTACAGTAAAACCGGGTTAAAGAATTACTATCTAGCTCAAGAAACACATCTGCATTACTGTACGAAAATATCTTCTCAAGGAAACCCAGACTAGTAATCTAAGTAGGCACAGGATATATCAATGAAAAGTAGTAATTGTTTTGATGCTCAAAGAGTTATAAATGCTTGAAATAATTTTACAAATGAGAAAACTGCTCAAAATGCTTCAAGGAGCGTTAAAGGTACTGGAGGGTCAGCTTTGGTGGCTAAATAGCCTGTTGCTATTCAAAACTTTTCTTATGTTCAAGTCCCACAACTTGTGCCCGGATCTGGTGAAGCGTATGGTTCTATCAGCGCTGGGAAGCATTTCTGACAGATATGAGCTTGTGGACACACGCAATTCCCAACTTCCTAATGCATTCCACTGACCACTTCTCTGTGGCCATGAAGGTATGAATGAAGCAAAGGGAATAGTCATCACTCTCAGTCGCCTTCCTGCCACTAGCTCCAAAGTAATATTGCTTTCTGTGAAGGCTGAGTAGTCAAATGGTTACAGCGCTACACCACATGACAAGAAATGTCCTGGGCCTAATCATTAGTAAGTGTTGAGTTACCTGGCAGCAAACAGAGGCAGGCACTATATTTGACCTCAGTGAGGAATGAGATTACGAGTTTATTCTAGTTCATTGCAATGTGTAATGTATGATTTTCATGTGTGTTTATAAATGTTAAATCACAATATAATGATAGAATCATTGAATGTAAAGATCACAGGGCATGGCCATTGGGCCCACTGAGTCAGTCCTGATGCCAAGCTCACCCACTGAAGCTGTACATCTAATCCAATAACACTGCTCTTTCCCCACACTTTTTAAGCCCCCTTTGAACTCCTACAGACGAGGCTGACACTACAATGTAGTGCTGGGATGTGTTGCATTGTCAAGGGTACCATTCGGATAAGGTGTTGAACTAAAGTCCTGTCTACTTAGTTCAGGAATCTTTTAGAAATCTCCATTCTGTCCTTGTAAGAGAGAAAAATCAGTGATGGGGAAGCAAACAGTTTAGTTATTTAAGAAGCTAGATATTGATCGAGTTACCAGCCAGGACGGATGATGCTGTACTTTCCAGATGTTGCCAGGTTAACCACCGTTGATCCTAATCGATAGTCGGGGTTTATGAGATTTCCAATAGGTCCACAATCAACAACGAGACCCAAGTGAGGCCAAAGGTCCCGAAATTCCTGCAGATATTCAGAAGAAAAGTTCCCAGGTTATTCTGTTTTCTTCTTAGAGGCAAACATTTTATCTATACGTGATCGACCTTAATGTCAGTCTTCCGTACTTTTTAAGCATTCTTGCCTCTGAATCAGAAAATTATTAATAATAAGGAGGGGTGGAGGGCAGGGGGAGTGGGGTTGGGAGGGTGGCCAAAGAGGAAGATCATTAGATGGGACAAGATCTTTCTCTTGAACAGAGGTGCTGTGTGTGAACATGAGCTATGGTAGTTTCCCCACCTCGGTTGTCAGGGTGCTCATCTGCGAGCTGACATTAGCACTGGTCAGAGCTAGTGGCTCACTGCACATCTGGGCCAACTGCTGGATGAAGGCGTGATCTGGAATCCGCACTCCCACCAGCTGCAAAAGAGACCAGACATCAGGGATCACAATGGCCGCAAATGATCCGCAAGGCAATCGGGTCACTGGAAGCGACAGGATTAAACGAAATACACCTCATCGAACAGCAGTGGTCTCAGAAGCTTCATACATTTCAAGGACTTTGGCAGATTTTGCTTCCATGTTTTAGGTGCGAGTGCTCTTGTAATACTATGCTTTCCACCCCAATGGTTCAACAAGTTAATTAGACAAGTAAAACAGAACCTTACAAAGCTCACACAGAACGTTTACAGTGAAAGAGGCCACACACAAAAAAAAGATCATTCTTACTTCAGTGAAAGGATTCAAATCACTGTTCAGTTTATCTGAACGTTCAAAAACGAGCGTTACAGGTCCTGGCAGAAGATCCCTCAATAATTGGTCAGAAACAGTGACCTTACAATACCTGGGAAAGCAGAGAGAAAAGGAGTTAAGACCTTCCAAAAGCCTTGCAGATTAAAATGTATCCACTACAGTTAAAGAAAAACTTGCTGTGCGTGATGAATCTTTAACGCACCACTAAACTATGTGCAGACACAAAAGGGCAATTCGGAAACAGATTTTGAAATCGGATGTATAAATGCAAATAATAATAATAATAATCCTTGCATTTGATATAGCGCTTTTCACGTTGGGAGGACGTCCCAAAGCGCTTCACAGAACACACTGTAAAGTGAATTGACTGTATATTTGTGGGCGAACGCGGCAGCCAATTGCGCACAGCAATGTCCCACAAACAGTCGTAGATTGAAAATGACCAATTTATTATTGTTTTTGGTTTTGGAGGGATTATTATTAGGCTCTGTGTGGAGTAAGGAAACTTGCCCAAGGTTTCGCCCTCTGCCTGGAATTGAACTCAGGTCTCTCACTTGCAAAGCGAGTGCTCTAACCACTGAGCTACAGGACTCCACAACACACGCAAACTGTGCTCATCGCGAACGCCTAAACTTCTTTTGCGGCTTAAATCCACTCTACATTCGTACTCGCCTGTAAATATCATCTACGCTGCCGACGCAGATGGCTAAAGGCCTGTTTTCCTTCCGCCCTTTGATCCCGTAAATCCTCCGGACGGCGTCGGAGTTCTGCGCCAGACAGGCAATGCCGTAGATCGTGTCGGTCGGAACGCCCACGACTTGGCCGCTCCGAAGGACTTCCGCCGTTTCCTTCAAGGCCTCGGTCCAACCTGAGGGGAGGAGGAATATTTGGGCTCAAGGTACACGTTACTACTAAAAAGGGTCCTGAAAACCCAACAAAACCCCATTAATCTAATCGGGGGCTTTCTGGATATACTTATACCGGTAAACCTCTACAGCAGCTGAAGGTTCGCGCGCCGATATTGGGGCATTGTTACCCCATACAATAATAATCCCATATCGGCCCCGACCGCCGATACTCTGATGAGAACAACAACAACAATAATAATAATGGACAGTAATCCTCGCAATTGATGTGGCGCTTCGTTGCGGCATCGGCCGCTCTCGCCCACGAGAGCCGAGCGGGAGAGCGAGGGCGGAGGTCCCGCGAGCGGCGGCGGCGGCGACGGCCACAATCCCGGCATCTGGTGCTGCGCCGCCCGGGTCGGGGGGGGGGACGGGCTCCGCGATCGCCCGGCGGTGACGGCGGCGGCGGCGGGTGTCCCGCAGACGGTCGGGGGTCGGGCGGGTGTCGGTCGAACCGTCCCGGCCCGGGGGAGCCTCGGCCGGAATACCGGGGCGGTGGGGAGGGGGGAGAGGGGGGGGGGGAGGGGGAGAGGAGAGAGACTCCCGTCCCTGTTCCGGGCGGCGGGACGGGGAGAGTTCGGTTTAACGTCTCATCCGAATGGCGGCGTCTCCGACAACGCTGTACAACCCCCAGCGCTGCACTGGGGGGAGGGGGGGGGTCAGCTTAGCCTGTGTGAGGGCCGCCCGCTCCCCCCCCCCCCCGCCCGCTCCCCCCCCGGGGCCGCCCGCTCCCCCCCCCCCCGGGGCCGCCCGCTCCCCCTCCCCCCCCGGCCCGCCCCCCCCCCCCCGGGGCCGCCCGCTCCCCCCCCCCGGGGCCGCCCGCTCCCCCTCCACCCCCGGGCCCGGGCCGCTCAGCTCAGGCCGCCGCTTACCTCCAACCGGAGCCCGAGGCTGAGGGCCGCCTCCCCGTTGGGCGCCGGGGCTCGGGGTGTGACGGCCCCGCGGGCGCCTGAGGCACAGCCCCGACCCAACCGCCTCCAACGTCGTCGTCGTCATCATCGTCGTCGTCGTCCCCGTCCGCGCCGCCGCCACCGCCGTCATCGTCACGGGCGCCGCCGCCGCCGCCCTCGCGCTCCTCATGGACCCGAGCAACGCGCGCGCCAGCCCGGCCCCGGTCACCATGGCAACCGCCGAGCGAGTGACAGCCGCTTCCTGCTCACGCCCCGCCCCACCGCTCTCTCCCGGCCACGCCCTCCACCCCCCTCTCCCGGCCCCGCCCTCCGCCCCGCCCCCTCCACCCCTCCCCACGTGACCGGATTGGGCGGGCTTCACGCCCAAATTAGGCGGTTTGGTCTGATTTGTTTGGGGCCTCTAATTCGGTTGCTTTCTTTTTCACATCTCCGCATATATGCATTTTTTTTTTTTTTTTTTAAAAATAACAATTCGAACCCGTTGTTTGTTTGCTTTTCTCCCCCCATGTGAAGAGCTTCGCCGAGAAGCGGTTTCAAAAGCGCTGAAGTCCCCCTTAAAATTGGGCTACTCTGCTGCCACCGCCACAGGAGGTGAGTCACACCGTTGGGCTACTTTTGGGCGAGTGTTTGGTGGACTTTGGGCTACAAATGCCCTCTGATTTCTGGCCGCTCAGCATCAGCTGTAAATGATGTAATGACTGTGCAGCATTGCCTCGTCCCTCCCTCCCTCCCCATCACCATCCACTACCTGTACATTTACTGCATTTCCATAATAGAGGTTATTGTCGTTGTGATTATTATTCTGGATAATAATCGAATGTCCGGTCAATCGCGGAGTCTCTGTGGCTCAGTGGTTAGAGCACTCGCTTTGCGAGTGAGAGACCTGAGTTCAATTCCAGGCAGAGGGCGAAACCTTGGGCAAGTTTCCTTACTCCACACAGAGCCTAATAATAATCCCTCCAAAACAAAAAACAATAATAAATTGGTCATTTTCAACCTACGACTGTTTGTGGGACATTGCTGTGCGCAATTCGCTGCCGCATTCGCCCACAAATATACAGTCAATTCACTTTACAGTGTGTTCTGTGAAGCGCTTTGGGACGTCCTCCCGACGTGAAAAGCGCTGTATCAAATGCAAGGGTTATTATTATTATTATTATTATTAATTTACTCGACAGTCTATTCTGGAAGCGCTTTGAGACGTCGAGAAGACGTGAAAAGCGCTATATCAAATGCAATGATTACTATTACTATTCGGTTGTCTCCCCGTGAAGTGGCACAGACAGAAACGCTGTGAACGTCTTTCTACACCTCTGCGCATTTCTAGAGAACGATAATAATAATCATCATCATCAAAATCATAATCGTTGCATTGGAGATAGAGCCACATTGGGTCGTTGAGACGTGTCAAAGCGCTTCACTGGATACACTCAACACAAAGTTGAGTGACTGTGTAATTTGAGGGCGAAACTACTGTCTCTATACTTTTTGCTCATTTCCGTCTCCTCTTTGAGTCGCCTTCAAGTTTTCGGCAAATGCGAGGATCGTGACTTATCATTTTTGTTAGATATCGGTCCATCTCAGGTCCCTTTAGCCTCCACCTGACCTCAGAGTCAGAGGTTGTGCATTCAACAACAACAACAAAATTACATTTGTATAGCGCTTTTATCGTCGGAAGGACATCCCAAGGCGCTGGACAGACAGAGTTTCGGACCCGAGCTGGAGGTCGGGGGCAGGGAGGGAGGGTGGAGGGCAGGGGGTGAAGCAGGAAGATGGAAAGCACGGTCGAAGAGGAGGGTCTTGAGATGGGTCTTGAAGGAGGCAAAGGGCCACATTGGGACTTATTCTCACGCAGTCTTAGGTGATGCCCCATTGTACTGTCCTGACGGGGTCTGATCCTTCAGATGAGATGTTGAACGCAGTTGTTCAGGTGGATGTTAAAGATGCCACCGCACTATTCAAAAAGAGAAGGGAGTTTCTCTCCCTTGGTGTCCTGCCCGCCAATCCCCCAGATAAAAACGGTCATTAATTATACATTTTATACACTGCAAAGTAACTCAATGAGAAAAATGATCAGTTTACGTGGAGGACTGATGTCCAGGACACCGGCAGAAACACCTCCTTTTCTTTTCGAACGGTGCCATTCGATCTTTAACATCCACCGTAAGTACACGATTTTAACAATACACCCAAAGATGGCATTTCTAACAATGTATTACTATTGTTTCTGTCTTTGTACTTTAATAATCTAAACATTAGCTGTAATGAGATTTCTAAGGTATTTTTAATCTTAAATTAATCACAGTCGACTGGATCATTAATTCCCTTATATGTTCTGCTCCTCTGATTTGTCTCAGACCCACAGGTTGTTGCCAGGATACTGATTGAGGGATTGCAGGTCTCAGATGGTCACCAATTACTCCTAATCAAGCCGAATGGATAAAAGGGTAACCTCTAGCTTTTGAAGCAATACAACAGTATTGTGTTAAAGTCAGACTCAATGGTATTTCAGGAGTGAAAGATTTTATTTAGGTTGAAAAAAAAGGATTGAAAAAGGCTGTTGTGAAACTGAAAATAGAGGTAATGTATATTACATTTATTTTAAATGTGCTTTTCCTCCCAGTCTTAACGCTTGAAGGTCTAACTTCACTTCTGCAATGTTTTCAGACTTGATTAAATGGTCGCAGCTTTAAACCTTGATTTGTAGCTTTGTGGAGGTGCAACATTGCTGTGTTCACAAGGTTGGTTTGAATGAAGAAGGCCTTTTGGCCCATCTGATCTCATCCCTCCAGAACACACACCCTCCCACACACACCACCCTGGACACACACTATTGCTGGCCTCCCATCAGAGCATCAAGCAGTTATTTTTAAAGCGAGTCCAGTGACCTACCCTCAACCAACCTTCCTGACAACCTGTCCCCGTCATTAATTACCCTCTGAGAAGAAGAAGAAAATTTCCCGGTATCTGTTTTTAGGATTTGAGAGAAACTTGGCGTTGCTGGACCAAGGAAGAGTGTTTTGCACTCCTTTAAGTTTGGAGCCTTTGCAGGATTTGATCAGGAGGCACATGTTTTGAAAAAATATTTTCCAGCTTATTTTACAACCAAAAACTGTAAGGATATATCAAAAGGAATCTAACCTAGTAGGAGCTCCACGCAATCCATTCTACCAGTGTTAGACAGTTTGCTCTGCAGATTAAGCCATTTTCTGTAATGCCAGCTCTTTTCACTGTTTAAAAAAAAGAGGGAGGAATTGATCTATTTCTCTTTTAAATATCCCAACGGACTCCAATGGAAAATGCGCCCCTGATCAATCATCCTATATTTTGATGACCCTCTGGGAGAAAAATCTTCCTCCATTTTATGCTTCTCATTTTGTTAAATTCTTGGCCTTGAATCACTGACTCGACGTTCACCATTTGAGAAGTGAACGTCGAGTCAGTGGCTGTTGATGCAACTTTGATGATGTTGGTTAATTCTCTTTCAGTATTGACGATGGATGAAGAATATGTGGAGTTTCAGCCTTGTGCTGCATCACAGCTGCTGCCAATGTCTCCAGAGCCATGCAATGATTCCTTACTGCTCACCTCCCCGGCCTCTCCTGAGGTATATGACGATTCCTCCCCACTTGTGCCGCACAGGCTTCAAGTGCACTGAAGTATGGAAACAATTAAAATCTAAAATCCTCCAACGCTACAGCACAGAAACGAGCCATTTGTCCCATCAAATCTATGTTATCAATCTGAGCAGTGGACACATTTATATAGAACATGTATATTATATCCATGTATGAATAAATGCATAACATAATGGTACAATAATAATATATATCATTGCAAATTATTGATTGAGCTGTCAACCTGGATCAGCCAAGCATTCAGGTGAAACATTTTAAGCAGATCTTCTCTACATTCATGAAACCCTGTATATAATTAGATACAGTGATGACTTTGTCACTGTATATAATTAGTGCTGCTCTCAATTACTTCCATGATTGCATTAAACCTATTTTTTTGTGTGTTTTAGGCCAACATGAATGATACCACTTACAAACAGCTGCTGAAATACATTGAGGCTCGACAGCAAACCTTGATGGCCAACATTGGCTGTTGTGAGTACATGTCGCAGCGACTGAAAGAACTTTCGACTGTCTGTGAGGTAAAGTATTGATATCTAGTTCTTAATATTTCTATCCTGTGGCTGCCAATAAAAACTGGGGGACAAAGTCTGGATCCATCTCTCTGGGCTCACCTATGGGGTTCCCCAGGGCAGCCCTGTTTTCAAATCTTTTGATCATCTAACCTCAAAGGACTTGTGTTATCTCCTGACTCCTACAAAATAATTTCATGTCAAGATCTTAACATCTTACTTAGTGCCTGGCAGGTTGAGAATTTGCATCATTCTCACTTGCTGTCCTCCTCGCCCAGTCACGCACTTCTCAAACTCCTTTACTTACAGGTTTTTTTAAAAATATTTTGCAGCCTCTTTCAAATGAAGGTGAAGAACTGTGCGCAAATGTTAACCAAGAAAATAGTCAAGAGTGTGAGGATCCTGCTCAAGATTCCAGCTCACAGTCCGACGTAAACCCGACTGTGAAAACTGAACCTGGGGGCGAGTGAGATCAATCTCTTTGAATCTGATTTACTTAATCGAGAATTGTAGCATTGCTTTGAGAGTCCCTTCAAATTACTTCTTCTCCTTTATGACGTACAGCATTCAGTTGCCAGTAAATGGGACTTGAAGGTGAAAGAATCATAGGGTTAAACTTGTAGGTCTGATCCAGCTTAGCTCCTAATATTACCTGTACACTGTTCCCAGCATTAATGTGCATTGAATCTCGTTGCTGAGTTGACCTTCGTGGAGTTGACCTTCGTGGAGTTGACCATCACAGCCTGAACCGTCTCCTTCCCAGGTCACCAACTGTTCTGGAAAGACATCACGGTTTGAGTTTTTATCTTAAATATTCATAATAAATTGCACAGAAGATTAACTAGGGGTGAAGGATATGAACTGTCTCAGTGTAAGGATATATAGAATAAAATCATGCCAACTGTGTACATCAATTTAGTGTCTCCTTTTAATAGTGGTCAAGTTTTTGAGAATGAGTTGACTAT